CATTACTACTCTCTAACATAACTGCTGAACTCTGAAAAATCGAAAGGAAAAAACAAATGTCCTTATTGCAGCCACATTTGTATTGGTAAGTTACATTTGAAGAAGAAACTAATAATTCATGCTTAATTTTGCTGAATGACTTGTTCTGTTGATGATGGCAGGAAATTAAACAAACTAGAAACTCTAAACTCCAAAGTCTAAAAATACATTTAAACCACTTAAACGCTTCCCCTTTTTGTGCGTCCAACTAGACAAACCTTTTCATGGGACCTACAGTTTCATTTAGAAAGAAAAAAAAAAAAAATCATTTCATAATGTGTCTCAACACTTTTGTTGGCTACCATAGATTACTTTTGAACATCTATTTCTCTATTGGAGCTTAGCTGGGGAACAATGAATTGGCCGTTGGAGTATGTAAGAGAATCTCAACCAGAAGTTTCAGGTGATCCTGACGAATATCATGGGTCTTCTTCAAATAAAATCCGCACCTTTTGGGAATTGAAATGCTATCTTGTTTTGTTAAGGGAACCAATAAAACAACTTCCTCTCGTTTTTGAAGGAGTACCCGACATGTGTGTGTAATATGTATTTCCTTCTTGTATACACATTACTCGGTTAATGAACCTGAGATTTCAGAAATTAATTATTCCTGCAAACTAAACAGAAAATTAATGGTGTTTCAAAAGTTATTTTAAAATCCACTTGTTACGGTAAGTGATAAAGAAAGAAGAAAACTCAACACTATATTTATATCATGACCTACACAAATACATTCACAGGCAAAGTCGGTGAGGTTTCACTAAAAAACAGGTACTCAAGTTTTAACCAAAATTCACGATCACAGAAATCATATCTTGTATTATAAGTCATTCTTTCTCTTTGGTCATTGAATGTGGCATCACAGGATTGGATTCCCATTGAGAAAAGTAAGCAAATACCAATATCACACATACTGGTAGCCTCTTTGGTGGCCCAATTAAAATGAAACAAAGACTTTAGTCATTTCAGTCGTCGTCCATGGATACAAAGTCTTCAATTAAACAGAAAGACTAATAGAACTGTAATCTTTAAAACAGATTGCAAGGGTGATCTTCTTTGCCATAATTATTGCAGAAGAAATTCATCATACATACATGATGAATTCATCAATTTTGAACTTTCTGTTTGTTTTTTAGGTCCCCATCATTGGTAGTAGAAGTTATTATCACCATAACTTTTATTAACGTTACTATTTTAAATCTAATTTAAATATAATTTTATTAAATTATAATTTTTAAGATAATATAATTAATTATAATATTTAAAAATATTTATTTATAAATTAATTTTAATATATTAAATAATAAATAGTAACTATTTTATTAATCAACTAGTTTTTTTTTAGCCCGTGCTTTGCACGGGATTATTTTATGTTTTTTTATATTATTTGTTTAATTCCATAATAATTTTTAATCAAAAAATTCTAAATTGATTTAACTATTAAGAAATTATTAATAAGAATAAATA